GATATATACACACATGCATAAAAAATATTGTACATATATTGTATTTTCATATAATATATGACAATTCAGTATCAAATTCAAAATGTTGAACATTCAGAATGTACGGTTGAGGCACAGTTTGGGGCCACAAACAAATGAGGCGTATCATATGTTGTACCATAAGTATATCCAGGGTTACGTCCACTGACACATATATGTTTGTGGATATCTAGATACCTCAAAACAAACGTATTCAACTGACTCAACGTATATATTCTCTTGCAATATTTCAGACCATCAAAGTACGCCTGCAGAATCAGCGCAAAAATGTGGCCAGTGTTCCTGGGGTGGCTGGGGTAACCCACTATCGAGGTATAGCGCATGCAGCAATCACCATTCCCAAACAGGAGGGGATAAGCGCCATGTTCAAAGGCCTTGAGAGCGGCCTTGTAAGACAGACAGCATTTGCGACTCTCAGGGTACATATGTGTGTATGTGTCTATTCCGTGTATGCTCTATAGTACATACGCATTTGTTGCTACGCAAGGTGGGATGCGATGGATGAAAATGTCCACTCATGTACGTGTTCTTATACTATACTGCTGAAGAAGTGGGACCAGCGAGGACATGGCGTCTATATTATGAAATCTCAAAGTAGACTTGTGAAGTCAAATGCTCTCTATCGGATTGTTGTAGTCTTGTAGCTATAAATGTATTAGTGTGCGCCAAAAGGTTTTGTTGATTATCTACTTTACTATACTATACTATACTATACTATACTATACTATTCTATACTATTAAATACTATTCAATACTATTCAATAATATACTATACTATATTATACTATATTATACTATACTATACACATGACTCGTATTCTCATCACCTACCACCACAGGCGCACATAGATTGATAACTCCACAGTGCACTCACTGACTCACAGGTACATGCATATCCCTCAAAGTAGTTCCGACATAAATTCATGAAAAGGTATAAACACATACACGAGCATCTAATTCACACTCTTCTGCACACATGAGTGCCTTTCAATCGATTCCGTAGAAGTCTCGCACCAAACACCTCCATTCAATCTCACAACCCAATGCTCCGTCCCCACACTCAGCTGGGACTATACAACCCAATCCGTGATTGGTACGTATCAGTTCTCAGTGCCTCGGCAGACGGCACATCCACGCCAACATTAGGTATACGCGCACTCGCAGCGGCGACTACCGGAGCTATAGCTATCACTGTAGCTTCGCCGGCGGACTTGGTTAAAGTGCGCATGCAGGGGGCAGCCCCAGGCGTGTACAAGAACACGCTCGATTGCTTCTTGAAGGTACTTGGGTGGATGGGTGGATGGGTTTAGGCATTTGGATTTATTGAGGAGAGTGTTCTATATATACACGTGTATGTATGTATAATCGCAAGTGTATATGTATATAATCGCAAGTAACTAGTAGCTGCCCGCATCAAGCCTGAGACCATCATTGTACTGTCACTAGCCAGAGACAGTGAAGGTGCGTATAGCGGATGCCCAGCTTGGGGCGTTCATGCCGACCCCTCAACCTTACGACGATATTGCATACGGAATAGAGTACATAACAAATCAGGAGAACAAATGCACATGCGTGATGTTGAACTTATTGGACTGTATTCGATGACTACAGTCGTTGCGAGAAGGTGGCGTCGCGAAGTTGTGGACCGGTCTTGGGCCCAACATCGCGAGGAATTCCGTCATGGTATGTTGCAACGTCTCATGTGTGAGTGAGTGAGTGAGTAAGTGAGTGAGGTATGTTGTACTTGTCCTGCCCTTTCAGCCGTTATAATATACCACAACTTTGATAGCTAATTTCTTTTCATCCAACCGCGAACTCCAAGGCGATCCTTTGCAGTCGGCCTATTAGATGATACTCTCCACATGTCAGAGAACGATGGAGGTTCGTTTACTATTTGGAAGGCTAAAAGTATATATATAAAATGGTTTTTCTCGCACAGAATATGATGGAGGTCGCCACATACGACCAACTCAAGTCCTATCTCGTCAACGAGCGTGGCTGGGAAGCGGGCACACAGACCTTCATTGTAAGTTACAACGTATATCAATATAAATATGAATATATTCCTTATGAATACGAAGACTAGGGGAGGGGAGAAGTTTGCATTTTTTTCACCGCGTGTCGCTGGCGTGTCTTAAGTAGCCTGCTATGTGATGCAAATATTCCCAATCACAACCTTTCTTTTCTCGTATACGTGCTAAGTAAGTATGCACAGGCTATGTGTCGCACGTGTGATCTGTGCTACCAGCCGTGCAAAATATTGTGTTTGTATTCGCGCGAGTTGTCCGTGTGATGCATATCGCTTTCATCGCGTGCTCCGTATCACACAGATTGACGCACAAGACAGAGATCTCATTGATATCACCA